CGCAGAGACTGATTCCTACATTAGCTGAAGGACTGGACTTTGACTAGGCCATTTTAACACATGACTATACTTTGATCTAAACTGTTAATTTGAATCTCTTGCTGTGTGTTTGTTCTCCATTTAGGAGGTAAATATTTGCTTTCTTTTTAATCATTTATGCCCCTTTGCTTCATTTCTACAGCCCCTAAAAGTTTTTCTCTACATATATCTCCTTTACTGCCCTTCCCTTAACCCGGCACAATGCTTTCAAGGATAGTTTCCATGGCGATCCCTATGAGGCTGTCATAAAACAGCTGTATTTACATTGACATCATATAACAAACATGCAGACTTTTCATTTATGGAGTGACTTCCCCTTTAGGGAAATCTATATAATCCCATAATTATGTTAAATAAGAAAATAAGTCTAGGTTTTTTTTACTTTAAGGCTAGTAAATCCTTTTGATAATCATTATAAAATAGTAAATATATATTCTCAACGAGAGCCCACCTTCCATGTAATGCTGCAGCTGGATAAAGTCCACAGGAGTCAGAGCGCCTTCAGTGTCCTCAGCTGAAGCCATGATGACCACTGCCAGACAAACAGGACAGCAAAGATCATGTGTGACAGAAACAAAAGCACAGATTTAGTTAGTTCCCATAAACCGGTTAGTCTTCATTCCAAACCCCAGGCCTACCACAGGTGAGACAGCCCCTCCTTTTTTTTTTTCCAGGGAAAATGATCTGCTTAAAAAAAAAAATCAAACTGGACTGAATAGCCTAAATATTATTTTTTCATGTAAAAAAAAAAAATCAAAGTTGCTCCAATCCTTGACTGCTGGATTGTTGCACAATCAGGAGCAGCTGATATAAAATGACCCTCAGCACCAGCAGGTCGACAAGCTGCTTGAAAAATGTAATGCCCCATTAAATTAATCATCAACTCAAGCAGAAGATAAATCAACAATTAAAGCCATCCTCTGAAAGGGGGCGCATCCATCAGAGAGGATTATAGAGTAAAAGCAGAGCGCTTGGCAGTGACAGGGGCCTCCACACTCACCTGGGGGGCGCTGCAGAGTCACAACAGGTGATCCTCCTGGAAGAAGCCTGAGCTTTAATGAAAACCTGTCTGAGTTTGAGCTAAACGGGCGCCTCAAAAACACTTTTCTGATACAAATGTCGGTGTGGAGGGTTAGCTGAGCGCGGCTGCCTGATCCCTGTGGATGAACTTCAGCCGCAGTATTAGTGGGGCAGGACCCGAGGGATTAGGAAGGAGCGGAGGAGGAGCTTTCAGCCACATCATTGCATTGAGCGGCGCTACAGGAGCAAAGGCGCGCGCCAACAAATGCTCCACATGGGTATGGAGCGCCGGTAGTGACGTTGAAAAAAACATTAGGAGCAATATTTATGGTTATTTAGTGCGTTTTAGGGAAAAAAAATAAGGGGTTATTTTTTTTTTTCCAAGTCATTTTTTTTGACTATATCATTAATTTATAAAAATTTTACTTTGTCAAATAAATCTTTAGTTTTGAGCTAAATATTTAGTTTGCAAATTAAACATTTAGTTTGTTGAATAAATATTTAGTCTGGAAATTTAATATTTAGTTGTTTAAATAAATATTTAGTTTGCAAGTTAAATATTAAGTTTGTTAAATAAATATTGAAATCCAAACTAAATATTTAGTTTGCAAATTAAATATAAGGTTTACTAAATAAATATTGAGCTACAACCTAAATATTTAGTTTTCAAATAAAATATTTAGTTTCTTGAATAAATATTTATCTCCAAACTAAATATTTAGTTTGCAAATTAAATATTAGGTTTATTAAATAAATATTGAGCTACAACCTAAATATTTAGTTTTCAAATAAAATATTTAGTTTCTTGAATAAATATTTATCTTCAAACTAAATATTTAGTTTGCAAATTAAATATTAGGTTTATTAAGTAAATATTGAGCTCTAAACTAAATATTTAGTTTGCACAATAAATATTAAGTTTGTTAAATAAATATTTAGCTTCAACCTAAATATTAAGGTTGCAAATTTAGATATCTAGTTTGTTAAATAAATATTTTTCTCCAAAGTAAATATTTAGTTTGTTAAATAAATATTAAGCAACAAATTAAATATTTAGTTTGTTAGTTAGTTAGTTTACAAAGTAAAGTTTTTATAAATGAATGACATAGTGAAAAAATTACTTGGAAAAAATGAACCCCTTATGTATATTTCTCTTAAAACAAGCTCAATAACCTTAAATATTGCTCCTAATGTTTGGCTACTTACCTTTACAAATGGTGCTCCATACAAAACTAAGGCTAAACAAAACTAAGCTGAATTTAAATGGAGAATCTAGAATCACGTGGTGCCTCCATCTGCACTGGTTTGTTGAAGAATTTGAAGACTTTTAGCCGAAACTAATAAAAATCTGCAGAAGTTCATTCATACACAGGCAGGGGCGGTTCCAGGACAAATTAACTGCGTGGCCAGGGGGGCCCGGTGTTATGCCAATAAATACCTGCCTGCCGAGAATTACCTCACCTGACGACATTGATGAAAAAACAGATTGAAATATGAACGAAAAGGGAACTTTTAAATATATTCTTAATGTCATATTTTTTATAAATGGATACCCTAAGATTGAGAGTTTTGGTGGATGGATGCCAAGAAATTCCAGCCTGCCCAGATTTTCCTCCTCTTTCGCGGGAGCGTGCATCGCCCTCAACTCTAGCACAATGATGAGAAAACGGATTGAAATATAAACGCAAAATGAACTTTTAAATATGAACTTTTCATATTTTTTTATAAATGGATGCACTAAAATTGAGAGTTTTGATGGATTGATAGATGCCAAGAAATGCCTGTCTGTCCAGAATTTCCTCCCCTGTATGAACGAAAAGGGAACTTTTAAACGTATTCTCAAAGTTTTGTCAGAAATCATATAGAAAGGTGTTGATAGCAAAAGCAGGAAAATGCTATTCAGTGAGCATAGAATATATTCATCAGACACTGACTAGCACATCCATTAAACACATTTCTCTATATAAAGTAAAAATCGTATTCATTCATATTTATCTGTTGACCAAAACTCTAAATTTTAGGGCATCTATGCATGAGTACGGAAGAGGATTAGTGCCACTAAAAAAAAAAAGTTAACTGATTTTTAAATATTATTTCAGTTTAATATAGGGGAAATTCTGACTTTTTTCTCAGAATAATGATTTTAATCTCAGAATTCCGACAGAATTCTGACAGCTAACAAACATCTTAGCATCAAGCCGTAGCCATGTCTGTTTTAGAGGCTAGTTCTCTATTTTTAATCACCCTCCGCTCTTTCACTAATGAAATGATATCAAGAAAAGTCACCTAATTCCTTCATTTTCTACTAATGTCTTACTGGCCTTCCAAATAATTCACATCTTTGTCAATGAAGCTGAGTTCTACCACATCTCTTCCTTCATAGTGCCCATCTACATTAAGATCCAAAATTCTGAGATTAAGTCAGAATTCTGAAGAAAAAAAAGTCAGAATTCTAAGATTAAAGTTAGAATTCCAACTTTCTCCCATATTAAACTGAAATAATATTTAAAAATTAGTTCACTTTTTTTTTTTTTTCAGTGGCCCTATTTCTCTTCCGTACAAAAGAAATACAAAAACATTAGGGTATAGATTTAAAAGTTCCCTTTTCATTCATATTTCAATCTGTTTTCTCATCAGTGTGCTAGAGGGGAGGTATTTCCAGGCATAACACCGGTGTGTTTTCATTGGTGCACAGAAAATCATTAGGACAGTAGCTTATCATTGAAAATATACTGAGAGCCACAGAAACAAAGGGAACCATCTGTGAGTCTGCACTGAATGAAGTGATTGGTTGGTTTTTGGTGTGAAAAAGGTATTTAACTAAAAGACATCTATTGCCATAAAAGGAGAGAAAATAGGTGATAAATAGATATCAACCAAAAGATTAATAATTCCTGAAAATAACATATTTTTGTTCTATTTTAAATAAAGATCACCACTTTTAATCAAATATGAATTTAAACTTTAGTAAGACTGGTAAATTAAGCTATAAAAGATTAGATTTTTATTTTTTTTTTTGGTTTAGATAACATTTTGTAGAATTTTTTTAATAATCATATCTCTTTGACATAATATCTCCTGTTATGGATAGTTTGATTATGAAAGTTATCACATCCTTTATACATTTGCAGTGCATAACACAACACTGATGAGAAACAGATGTCGAGAGATAAAAGAAAACAACATTAAGAAAGGCTTTTCCTCTCAGGGACATGGCAACAAAAATGACCACGCATCTCAAACAAAGCAAGACAAGAGTTGCAGGGTTCCAAAAGAATTGCACCACTTCACACATAAAAGCAAAGTCATTAAATAAAACCCACAAGTTCTTCTAAATAAAATAATATATGGACATGCACAAAATTTAGATTTTAAAATCATTAATTCTAAATAAAAAAATTAAATGGCTCCAAATGACCTATCAGTCACTGATATTGTCATTAGAATTTTTTAAAAATTGTTATTATGTCCTCAGTTCAAGCGCCACAACAGGGGTCAGAACCAGTTCTATAGGGAGACTGGCCCCTGTTGGCCCCTGTCTATGACCACCCATGTACACAGACTATCCCTGGGGGCCTTAAAACAGTCCAGTTTGGAGCTTTTGCAGATGTTGCCACATTCAGGCTTCAAAATTCTGCTTTTGGGGATTTTGTGCAAGAAACACAGAAGTGGGTAGAAACTAGTAACTTTTACCCAATTACAGTTGCTTATATATCTTGTATAAAAAATATATATATTTATATTTACTTAATAACTAAAATATACTTTTAGGGGTAGTTAATAGGAGAGAGTAGTTGTAACATCTTGCCGAGCATTTACCGGTAGTAATAACTAAAATATGAATTATTGAAATATGCTGGTTTGAACAGTAGGGGGCGATAAATCAATACAATGCCAATGGTTCTATGGCTCGAAGAAGAAGCATCATACGCAGGTGTTTACGTGTTGACGTCCTCCCACTTCCTTAGCTCCCTGAAAGAGGGGCAGTCGTCTCTAATTTGACCACAAATCCCAAGTTTCTTTGAACCTTCCGCATTTTTATCTCGATATTTAGGTTAAATGTTAACAAATGTTGACAGAAATGATCGGATGGATTTTGAAACCCGCACAAATTGTGCTGTAATTGCGTGTTTAGCCTCATTCATCGCAGGCAAAGCTAAAGCTAGCAGCGCGTCAGTGGAGATAATTTCCTCCTAAATCATCTGCTGATCCGCAGTCAGTTGGTCCTCTGTTAACTCAGAGCTCAGTAAAACTAACAATGGCCACTCGGCGTCTGACCGATGCCTTCTTGTTAATGCGGAACAATGCCATCCAAAACCGGCAGATTTTGGCTGAGCAAGTGAGTACAAACGACCCCCGTCTGAGTACACGTAGCAATGCTGCGGTGAGTGCTCTGCATCATTTTACTGTGTGTGTTGGCATGGATATAGACTCCTCTTAGCTAGATCCACCTGGGTGTTTGCATGGATGTAGACTCCTCTTAGCTAGATCCACCTGGGTGTTTGCATGGATGTAGACTCCTCTTAGCTAGATCCACCTGGGTGTTTGCATGGATGT